AGTTAGTACAGATTGTTTTATTATTCGCTTTTGTTTTCGGATGGTTACCACTGGCCGCTTGCCTGCCCATAGCTTACATCTCTAGCAAGATCTTCAGCAGCGTTTTCAAGGGCCTCGTCCAGTACGTGGTTGGCTATTATGTACCGGTGTGGTTCACCATCCGGCAGAACAGCAGCTGTGACTTTGGTTCACGCACATGTTTCGGAGTGTCGTGCTCCTCCGCGAGTTGCCGCAGCACACACAGACCACGGTGCAGCCAGTCCTCTAGCGCAACAGGTACTGGGTCCGTCCGGAACAGCTGCTGCTGGCCATGGTGGACGAGAACCGCGTGGTCCGCGAACAGGCGGTTCGGATTATCGCGCCACACGTAGCAGCAAACCGAGCGTCCTCTTCAGCCCAGGTTCTTCCCCATCCCAGCGATATTTTCGAGGCCGTGAGGTACACCGAACTGATCTCCTGGCGCGGACCAGTCACACAGACTAGTAACACTGCGAGACCTCAGCGAAGGCGAGTTCCAGATCAAAGTGCAGGCTCCGCTGACCTCCCGCCCTATCCGGTTCACACCCAGGCGGTGGAGAGGGCCGTGCACACCGTCACCGAGGCGTGTGCGGCGTAGATGGGAGAAGAGGCGCGGTATGGCCTCATCACGGCCAACCTCAGGCAAAGCCAAATCTCTTCAGTGTAAACTCTAAGAAAGATCTACCCTGAAGGTAAGCTGGTATTTGCTAACTAATGACATCCTCAAAAGTATCAGACTCCCGCTTCAACGTCAATCCATTATACGATCGCATAAGTCCTCATCTTTCTTTATGTGTCACTTGGTCAATGTGCAAATTAAAAATTTTTGCTTGATTACGAAATGCACCGCATCTTTTTCAGTAATTCGGTGATTTTGTGTTTCTATCACAACCCCTTTAAATGTGTCTGCCGCAGGCGGTCGCAACAGCAGGCCAGGGCAAGGCAGCCGCCGCCGTCGCCGCCGCCGCATCATGCCGTCCGCCCGCTGTCCGGATGCGGGACAGTCCTTCAAAAGAGCGTAGACCGGGGAGCGGACCGCTTGACCAGCAGTCGGCGCTCCCACAGGCAGCATGCTCTGCGCCTCTGCCTTCTGGTTTAGCAGCGAGGCGGCAGGAAAGTTAGAGACGTGCGGTCCACAGAAAAGGAACGGGCAGCGCCGCGTATCAACCAGCCTGGCAGCGGCTAGTGCAGCAGTGCCCGGGCACGCGCCGCATGGCAGAGTGAGACCAGCGCCGCACCGCCGAGAGCGTCTGGGGCTGGGGTTCCGGCAAATATAGAATCCAACTGCGACGGTACTTCTGCTACCGTGTCTTCTCCGCTAACACGAGTTTCAGGTTTCCGGTATGTGAGCAGCTGCTTTCGAGGCCGGTGCATTGAGTACGAAGGGTCGGCCGAGAGCGATATGTACATGTGGTCACCCTATCCCCCTCCACGCCCGTGGTGCAGACTGCACACTTTGCTATACGTATTAAGTTGTACACCAGACAGCATATTCCGACTCATATGCTATGCATGGTTTTGTTTGCAGCACGTGAGTTATCTCAAAGAAATAGAAGCCTAAAACAGTACTAAAAAACGTACCCGTTCGACGAGTTCATACTTAACAACACATAAAGTCTCTGTCATATGGCAATCAATCGGGCAATGTGTGATCCGCTTGTGAGACTTTATATCAGAACATTTCCGTACGGCAGTATAAGAATGCTCGGTAGCATCGTTTCCGTACGCGAAGCTATTTTGTATCCGTTGCCGCCCACGGCTTGGTGTTACCTGCAGCGGCCGACGCCGCCCAGCGTACGATAACTGCGACGCCGGGCGTCGGTTTGCAGCGATAGTTCGATCGGCCCGCGCGTCCCGCACTTACGTTTTTTAGAACAATTTTTACTATGCCATGTGCTTTTGTGTTCCAACACCAAGAAATTTGTTTGTATCCCTGGGTCTTATTACTGATGACACAACCTAACGTTTATCTATCAATCTGCCACATCAGTGACCTAGATCAGGTCGAAGAGATCAAGCTCTAAAATAATTGGAACACACATAGCTTTGTTGTGCGTTATTTGCCCTTCCTTAACCTTGCCCAAGCAATAGAGGCTGGTAGTACCTGCAGTCCGTTTATCTCAGTTTTTTAAAGGCGAGCTTAGTGCCTGAGGTGAGGTCAATTTTTGCTGGTTTTTTTTGGAAATGAGGCAAACTTGCACGCATTTTTGTTTAGTTTTGGCCTTTGTGGATAAGGAAACGGGTACTAACTCACATGCACAACCATCACATGACCACAGAGCACATGACATTGGCCTAGATTGGGCCTATCTCCATTGGTGCTTTCTGCAAAACACATGCTGAACTTAAAATAGACGGTTTCAAGTAACAAAGGGCGCAAATTCCAAATATTTCACTGAGAACATGTTGGGATACCATTCTAAGGCATAAGGAGGTGACACTAAGTCACGTGAGGGCATGGAAGGTCATATGAAGTCATCCAAGGTCGTTGACCTCTGTTTTCAGTAGCGAAGAGGAGAGATGAACGAGTGTGACACGTGTAGCCACCTCTAAATCGTGTTGGTAAAGCTGATGACGTATAAATGCATGTACCAGCGCAACTGTTTTCAGCTGATTACAAATATATTGGCAAGCGTCGAATGGTCTCTGTACAATGTCTACGAGGGGTACACGATCTTGACTCCCTGTAGATGTCCAGAATGCTTTTTCTGACTACAGAAAAGCGTCGGCCCTGGCCACTTAGATCCGGTTTGCACTTCAATTTTCTTCCCTTTGATAGTTAATGAATTTGACCGAAGTGAGCCCAAGCTGACCTCTAGGCCAGCCTAAAATGACAATTTTGTGTCTGGCACGCTTCTTTTTCCCCCAGACCTGACATTTCTGGTGAACCAAAATGGTCGGAATAGACTTTCTGCCGTCTTAACGCTTACTTCTGTACCCCCAATATCTGTCTTGACGTATTAACATATGTGTTCTGTATTTATGTATGTGTTCATACATGTTAGCATATGTGTCCTGTGCAACTGTACCTACCAGAACAACCTTTTTTCCCATTCGTGACCTCTGTTAACCTCATATTTGATCCAAGGCCAATAATTTGGTGTACATTCTTTATGATTTGACGAGACCCCCGCAACCGATCTCTGTTTTTCCCACACGACGTCTGGAAGTTGGAGAACCCAAGGGAGAAGTTAACCTCTCCCTTACCAGGCGCGATTGTCTCAGACCCCGGCCGGACGCAGGTTCATTTATCTCACAGATGCTGCAATACTTCTGTATTCGTGCGACAGTCATACGTTCATCAGCACACTCCGTACAATTTATTAAACGGCCAGGCACACCACTGAATGGCAAACATGTGCTTATCGTATTGGCTACTCTCTGACATCAGGACGAGCTGTTGAACACACCGGGGTTGATGAAAAACACAGTGATTCGAAAGGTGCACTGGAACAGCACATAAACTGTCATCCATGGCCTAAATATATTCTAGTTTTCGAGCTGTACTGAACGCACCATTAACCGAAAACAGGGTTAGCTGCCAAGGATGCGTCAATTATGGGCGAAACGCATGATAAAGAACTCATGTTCTGTTTGAAAATTTATGGAATCCATCCTCACCTTCCACTCGCACACAAAGCAACGAATAATAATTCACGTTGTCCATTAATAGCCATCACTCTTGCCAAACCACAACACGATCCAGGCTATTACCTCCAAACACATGACAACGATGCCGACGGACAGTGCGACTTACCGCCGACTACTGGACCAGCGTGGGAACACTACCCTGGCTGCCGAAAGGCGTGTTGGTCGCGGGTGACCGTCACTGTCATTCAGTACACTATCAGACATTCCCGCATTGTACTTTCTACACACAGCTGTATGCGCCACACACCGGAGCGGGAAAGCACTCCATCCTTGACCCGACTGGCCGGGTACTAGGCCTGCCGGGGACCGCCGCGGGCGAGAGCGATCTCACCGCTCCATTCGTGACCCGACTGGCCGGGTGCTGGGCCTGCCAGGGGCCGCCGCGGGCGAGCGCGATCTCACCGTTCTTGGCTGCACCAGTGCTCCGAAGCTTACACAGCGGCGCGAGGAGCGCGAGATGCCATGCGTATGGCTGGAGGGACTAGTCACTAGGTCCGTATCACAGGATGGATTTGTTATGAAGCATGAACATCGGTGCCGCTCCCTCCCTCTCCCCCTCTCTCTCTATTATCCTCTCTCTCTATTATCCTCTCTCTCTCTCTCTCTCCTCTCTCTCTCCTCCTCTCCTCTCTCTCTCTCTCTCTCTCTCTCTCCTCTCTCTCTCTCTCTCCTCTCTCTCTCTCTCTCTCTCTCTCTCTCCTCCTCTCCTCTCTCTCCTCTCTCTCGCGCTCTCTCTCTCTCTCTCTCTCTCTCTCTCTCTCTTCTCTCCCTCTCTCTATCTCTTCACCTACCTCACCCTCTCGCTCCCTATTTCTCTTCCTCACCCTATCTCTCCTCTTTTGGTCATAGATAACTTCACGGGCTGGGCAAACCCATTGGTACTCACGTGGAATGGGTAACGGATCGGATTGTGTACAGTCTTGGGGAAAAATTAATTGTGTGGGTACAGGTATGGGTATGCTGTTTACGAAATATCGAGTAGATTTTTCGAGACGTCCAACACAATTTTACTGGTAGCTGTTTTTTGTCATAAGTAACTTTATTTGCACTATTTTTGCAAGTTTGAACGCCACATAGTAAGCTGCAGTGTAAAATTTCCCGAAATGTCTCTAACATTTAAAACCAAATTGCTGGGATGAATAGAAACGGTTGTGTATAACTGATTAGGAATAAGTAGCAGTTTGGTGAGAGCGTAGTTCCATGAGCAGCGGGTGGATTGCGTACAGGAAATCTTACCCGTGAAATCCTCTATTTTCTTGCACACTCCCTGTCACTCGCCACATCCCTTTCGGTCTATCTCCCCCCCCCCCTCTCTCTGTCTGACCCTTTACACCACCCCTCTCCCCCTTCTCCATTCTCCGTATTGTCTGTGCACGCGCTCGCACGGCGTGTGGTGAGATAGGAGAGCATCTTCTATGCTGTGATGTGGTAGACCAACTCCTCGTCTTGAAAAGCCGCAGGCCCAAATGTCCTGAGGAAAAACAAGTACACGGAACATAATAATTCAGATGAAGGGATGTCTTCAGTAGGAAACCATACGCGCACATGACCAATGCAGGTGACGCGCCCTTAAAACTAAATAACTTACTGGGAAATCCATATGACAGCCCAAATTTCAAATCACCTAAAGAAAACCAGAACGGGAACAACAGGTAACAAAACCTTTTTTGTGAAGCGCGCGAGGGCTTGCAAGCCACAGCTATTAAATTGCCCTCATCTGAAGTGGAGCGGGGCATCATAACACCCTCCATGATTGTGTCACCGCGGGAGGAGAGAGGGTGGGCGGTCCGGTACCGCAGCCCTTGGCGAGCCGCAGCCCCAGCGAGCCGCAGCCCCCGGCGAGCCGCAGCCCCTGGCGAGCAGCAGCCCCAGCGAGCCGCAGCCGGCCGCGGTCCTGCGCGGGCAGGTGCTCCGCAGTGAGCCTGCGGCTCGTGTACCGCAGACGCCGGCCGCCCGTGTACCGCAGATGCCGGCCGCCCGTGTACCGCAGGCGCCGATGGCTCGTGTACCGCAGGCGCCGATGACCTGTGTACCGCAGGCGCCGGCCGACCGTGTACCGCAGGCGGCGGCCGACCGTGTACCGCAGGCGGCGGCCGCCCTTGAACCGTAGGCGCCGATGGCCTATATACGGCAGGCGCCGACCGCGCGTGTACCGCAGGCACCGGCGGCCCGTGTACCGCAGGCGCCGATGACCTGTATGCCGCAGGCGCCGGCCGCCCGTGTGCCGCAGGCGGCGGCCGCCCTCGAAGCGTAGGCGCCGGTAGCCATCGCGCCGTGAGCGCCGGCCGCCCGCCGTCCTGTCGCCGAGTAAATAAACCCATCGGGCCCAGCGGCCCCCGGCTGTTTTCCCATATTTCACCTGGCCGTGGCGGCAGGCCGACCGGACAGCGGGCTATGCCAGCGGCAGCAGCGGCAGTGATGCCGCCGCACAACAAACAGGCGGCCGCAGTGGCGCGCCAAGGCGTCGTCTGCGGTTGGGCTGCGTGTGAAGGGAGGGCGAGCAGCGGCGGACGTGAGTCGCGAGCAGACGCAGCGGTGGTGGGGCAACGCCGCGGGGGAGCGGACGAACGCCGCTGATCGCGGAAAGGGGAGGGGCTCCAAGCTGTCACGCGGTCTGAAAAGGCCGCCTCTGAGCCCTGGTGTGCCTTTTAGCCTTTGCCTTTTAACTTTAGCCGTTTAGTTTGTGGGACTGGAATCGAATGGCTTTTGCAGGTGGGGGAGGGACTGTGCTGATTGACTGCGGTTGTTGCAGTCCTGCCAGCTCACCCAGTTTAAGGTTCGTGGAACATAAGTGCATTGCGAAGCAGTGCATTTCTTTGCCGAAATGTCTAATACTACTTTGGCGCTGTGTGGCACGATACATCCAGGTTCGTCATCGAGCAGGAATTGTAAAGAGTTCACAGAGAAGGCTAAACGTCACATTTCCTTACAACTACCTCTGGCAAACTTCCATGAACAAACCCGGGCAGGTCGATGCAGCGCGCTTAGCACGCGCCCGGGTGACCAGTTGGATACTCTTCGCTTGGGGGGGGATCGATTTGAACCCCTTAGATCTCACGGAACTAAGAAAGCTAGATATACCAAATTCACAGCGTGTGATGGCCTGTACGTGAACTCACTTAGGTCAAAATTTGAAGTTCATAGGTCATGTTCTTTGAGTCAGATAAGGTTAAACAAGGTCAAACTTCCAAGTTGGTCTCCAAAGTGTCCCCAAAACCTAAATGCCTGTTTAAAGCAAAAGGTCACATGCTGATTTAAGGTCAGTGACCTTATTTGACCTTTCAAAGATTGTTGTGACCAAAATCATACAAGACTGCTCCGAGTTTTGCATTTGAATACATGATAAAATTACGCTAGCCAGTATATTACTAAAAACGGAATGTTGACCTGCATCATTTCAGGTCAGTGATCCTTTCTGACTTTTAAGAAATTCATGGAAGATGCCTTATGCGGTTCCTGTTATCATCAAATTTTGAATGGGCACCAGAAACTACCTCGTACTCGAAACCCTAGAGTAATAAAACAGGTTGTTTTTTTACCTTGGTCTGACCTTCATACCTAACCCTAGGTCCATATAATTTGGTCATTCAATTGGTGAGTTGCGTAAGAAAGCATCTCAGAGATGAGGTTTCGTCTAACACTCTATTGTTCCACCAGATTTAACGATTCCCTAGCAATTGACTTCGCTGAATCCATGGCCTGACTTTGACCTGCCGTGAGTCAGCGGCCTTACAAGGTACATCTAATTGTTGAAATCATACGATCCGCTATTCAATCGTCTACAGCTATGCAAAATTTGGTGCAGCTACGCCGCACCGTTCGGAAATCATTCCGGAAAAGCCCTCAGGGGGGGGGGGAGGGTGATTGACCTCCACCCAAGCACGTTGTTAACATGCACATGCATGCATGGCTTTTAAAGATGCCCAACATTGACACCTTGACTTCATGGCCGGCAGCGAACAAAAAGTTTGAATGAAATGTATGTAGCGGGACAGGCGGCGGCTATTTTTATATAAAGCAAACTTCGACTTCCCAAATGGGGGGGGGGGGGGGCGTGGAGTTAAATTACACTGCGCGTGAATAAGAATAGCCAAATACAATTTGTTGTGGAACTAAGATGTAAGTGTATCTTCCGGCTGGTCTACTGTACGCAGACGAGCCGGGAACTTGTCAGAGAATGGCTGCTTTCTGTATGAAACTTAGCAGAGCGTTGTCTGCACATTTGTGACCCGTTTGTGACCGTTGGTGGCGTGCGGCAGTCTGGGTGGGAAGCTTCGATGAGGTTGCTCCAATCAGGGAGGAAGGAAGGTTGCTTGGCGTTACTTTCCGTTTTTTTTACGATAGCTTTCTCGAACACGAGTCGATCTTAAAATAAGATAGCATTTGGTTAGAAATATATTAATATCACCGTGAAATTTGCCTACGAAAATGTCCTATGATATTTTTCGTAGACAAATTTCATGTCGATGTCGTATCGTATAAGTGGAGGTCCGTCAATTTCTCCCCATTTGATACTAAAGCACCACTCCTGTTTGCTTGAACCATTCATCATCACTACACATGCTTTGTGGTAGAGAGATTCGGGCTTACCGCGGTGCATCCAGACGTCTGTAAACAGACTCGGCTCGGGTAATCGTTGGGCAGTTACCTGAACAATTCTTCCCGTCGCCGGCGCTGCCGACGGCGTGTGTAGCGTCGGATCAGCAGGATTAGCGTCGTGTTCACGACGACCAGACCCACCAGACCGCAGCCGATGCCTGCAAGGCAGACACACGCGTTTGCACGCATGCGCGACAAGGTGCTCGAGGTACGCGTGGGCATTGAGTGCTTGGATCAAAGATGTCATGCTAATCGCATATTCATGGTCCTTTCAATAATCACCGAAGTCGATGTTGGTCACTACACGTGTTGCGCAAGAGGGTTTAGCTTACTGCAAAACCTGTCGTTCGTTTTCTTTTAGAATGAAGAACAATGTACTGCAAGAGCAACTTTACGAGACCAACAAGCACAAAACAGCTGACTTATTACCACCTGTGTGCTGTTTGCTTTGGACCAAGTGCAGTGACGCTATTGTCTAAAAGCTCCCGCTGCAATCCCAATGTATACGGTGATGGTGTCATATGTCCGACTTTGACGGGGTCACGTTGAAGTTAAAAGTCTGTTAAAGCGTGCGGTTAGAAAGAGGGGTAAAATATGCATCAGGTGGAGATGCCGCAGGTTTTACGTAATCCTGAAGCAGAAAAAAACGGAGAACCCAACCCGTTAATACCAACATGCGACAGCACAGTTATGCCTATCATGTTGTACGGGTTCCCGTTTTTATGAAATAGCACGTTCTTGCGGGGTACGGTTGAGCGACATCAACGTCGATATCAGCATCGACATCGATATCGGCATCGATATCAACATCGACATCGACATCGACAAATATTAATTCACTCCTGCCACTGCTTTCTGCTCTTTTGCCGAAGGCGTATCAGAGGTATGCTGTGATCAGCAAACGTCCCTGCCTCCGTTTCGTTCGGTGCGATTTTGAGTTCCGCTCTCGCCAGGCTTTTGCCGTGAGTGAGGCCGAACGCTTCGCCGAAACCCCCAATGCGTCTTTTGATTGATAAACCCGGCATGTGAGCAGTATTTTTCATATATGTAAATCGGCACGGCCAAATTGCACAGCGCTGTCGGCTGGCTCTCCTTCGCCCAGCACCAAAAGAATGCAATATGTCAGAGACCGGCCGGCCGGCCGGGCGGGCAGGCGGCGGCCGATCAGCCGTCACGAGGGAAGGGGGAGGGGGAGGGGCAAGCATGGGACTGCAGCAGCGCCCACCGCTGCCGTTGGCGGGACACAGATGGACGGGATGCAGGCGGACTCCAGTCGCAGTCTACAGTCGCATTCTGCCGCCGGCTGGTTTTTGGCACGGTCTGTGCGGCGGGCGGAGCCAGAGGCCGTCTGACCGCCATGGCGGACTAACGACGCGGGCGTGTCCAACGGATGTGGACGTCCAGATAGAGGACTATACAAGGGACTATCTATCAACACTGCGACAGGCGCCTGTTCTAGCACCAGGGACTTAACAGCGATTGTCCCTGCTGGAGAAATACTGACTGGCAGAGGGAGAGAGTGAGACAAGCAGGTTCGCCACTGCGGTACGGAAATTCAAACGTGAAAACTAATTTCGATATGCATCCGTTCAATGGCACAGCTAGCTGAACCATTGCAAATACGGCATGACAAAGGAAAGCACATGCATGAAGCAATGTGTTTAGTAATCCAGAACCTGACCAACAGTGGACGACCCTGGAAAAACGAACTAAGAGCAGGGATAAAAATGGGGGACGAAGCATCCGAGGTGATGCGTTCTTGTTCGCGCGACATTAGTGCTGGTAACGATTTAGAGAAATTCGAGACTTATCCCCCATCACTCTTATAAGGTAGCACATGCCTAGCGTTGGAACTATGAGAGAATAAATCGCATATTTGCTGAAAACAAGGCGGTGAAAAGGCACTCCGAAACAAGTGTGGTGAACGACCACACATACCATATACAGCTTAAAAAAGGTAGGATAGAGATGAATGGAGTAAGAGGAGTAGATAAGTTTATATATAGGGGGAGAGGGAGACAGAGGAGAGAAAGAGAGAGAGAGAGAGGGAGAGAGAGGGGTAGAGAGAGAGAGAGAGGAGAGAGAGAGAGAGAGGGAGAGGGAGAGAGAGAGAGAGCGAGAGAGAGAGGGAGAGAGAGAGGGAGAGAGGGAGAGAGGGAGAGAGAGGGATATATATATATATATATATATATATATATATATATATATATATATATATATATATATATATATATATATATATATATATATATATTAAAAAGCCTACAGGTATGTCCTGAAAGCATAGCAATGCAACCGTATCTAAAAACAGCCAAAAGTGCACCCCTATCCTACACGTCTCCAGCAGTCTGCTGGGCCGCCGCCGGCCGTCACCAGAGCAATTCCGGGTGGCGACAGGCGGGACGCAACAGGCGGGCCGACGGCCTACCGAGCAGAATGTGGGACGAGCCCGACTGGGCCCGGACCAGCGGCCTGTTGTGATAGGCGCCGGCGTCGGCGGCGGCGGCGGCTGGCCGCTCCGGCTCCGTCGACTGACTCCGGTACGGCAGCAGCGTGGGCGCTCCCCCCGGCAGCGGCTCTGGGGCAGAGACGGCCGACGCGTGAATGATTGGACACCGATGAGACACGTCCGACGCAGAGGTGATGTGCGCTCTGGGGTAAAGGCGCGGCTCGGAAATGGGACGTGGGCTCTGGAGAGGGACACGGGCTGGACAGGTGGCATGGGATCCGAAGGGAGATGCGGGTCGGAGATGTGACATGGGATCCGAAAAGAGATGCGGGTCGGAGATGTGACATGGGATCCGAAAGGAGATGCGGGTCGGAGATGTGACATGGTCTCTGAGCAGAGACCCGGGTAACAGTTGACATAGGCCCTAGCGTTAGGGAGGAAAACAGCGGTCACAGACGAGACTTTGCCCCTGGGGAGGTCGGGGGAGAAGGTTACAGAGCACACAGCCGGTGAGGGTCATGAACAGACCGAGGCCGAGAGACAGCGGTCGTCCAGCTGACTGGTTTCTGGGAAGACAAAGGGGACGTGGGACATAGAGATCAGGTGAGCTTCAGTGACCGGATAAACTAGCGCATGGTCGACACTGTGGCACTGAACGCTTCGAGAAATGCAAGTGCTGTCATGATCAGGTAAAGTTCAACGAACGTTCAGCAGTTTTATGCAAATAAGCTTCATGAGGGTTCATGTAACGGAATCAAGGCAAGCGTGACTGAAACACCAGGGAAGGCGTTGGCCAAATAATATCCTTAAACGGAATAAAAGCGTTTTATGAACGTCTAAATGACCGCTTAAGGCATTAGTTCGTACTGCTTAGGATTTCACTGATCTATTACATTGCGTCCCAAAACTACCGTATCAAGTTAAACATCCTATCTCAAGATCTTGAGACTACAAATGTCTGACTAAGGCCACTTGGCACATGAATCTCAATGCATAATTGTTGGCAAACATTAAAACGCATTAAAGCATCTCACACCATTATCCGTCGTGAAAACAGCTGGTGGCTGCCCTCACTTCTCAGAACTGAAGCACGGCCAGACTGCAAAATACGCTTGGGTTTCGTATCGAGCACATCTCACAGATGTGCGAGCAGGCAGAGAGCTGAGGCTAAGGAATCGACATCTTCAACCCCAGGGAGCTAATTTGAGGCACGCTTAGGGGAGACCCGCACCGACGTAAATCAACACGCAAATTAGCCGGCATTGATCCATCGCCTCGCGTAGCGAGCACAACTCTATCTTCACCGTGAAACGTGAGCGGTGAAGTGCAGTTGGAGACTGAACTGGCGACATAGGCGACTCCTGAACCAAAACGCAACATTGTCATCTACCTTGAATCATTTCATGCCAGTCATCCCCGAGCGTAGTGGCCTTTGAATCTTAAAACGTTAAATCCAGGCTTTAAGTGTCATCGAAGTACCGATGATGTGGAGGCATTACTGATGACATTTTATGTGTACATGCTGTTTGGCTTTCACGTATTTGGCTATCCTTCAGCATTAAAAGACCGCTCTTTCTACTGATAGCGAATACAATACTTTGTAGTTTTTTACGTTCTGCACTGCATTTTAAGTAACATATAACATTGTGACCGGGCTTAGTCGGTCTATGGTTCATGCTTTTTGGGCTGACGAATTACGTTACACCAGGGTGACTTGTCGACCAGCTATTAAGCACCTATTTAGCAAATAAGCATCATATCATTACGTTGTTAACACCAACACAAATACAAGATGTCCTATTCACGTTCATGCTTTTCCGGGATGTCATTTCCTGGACCAATCATTTAGGCCACAAACGATCACACGGATTTCATACTAACGAACGCAGGTGAAGATTTTCTGCGGAAAAATAGCAACTCAACTCAACTCAACTCAACAACTTATCTCGCAATTCAGCGCAGTTTGACTGATCACCAAGATGGCTTACCAGCATGCTGGTTATAACCAGCTGACTTTTGCATTTCAGTTCGAAGACCGGGTGGAGCTAAGAGCATTGAGAGACCAGCGGGTGGGTCGACCTGACCTGTCGGCCCGCACTCACCGAACGTGAACTGGACCCGGTTGGAGGTGAGCGCGGTGTCTCCCAGCGGACAGCTGAGCCGGACACTGTAGGCCCAGTCTCCGTGGGGCAGGTGCAGGCTGAAAGTGCGGCTATGGGGCCTCAGGCCGGCCAGGACCAGCAGCTGCGGCCCGCCGGAGGTGCTGTACAGCAGTCGACACGCGCTCGTGTTCAGCTGCCGAGAAACAGAGGCCACGGGAGGCCGCTCAGCTGCAGAGCAGCGGGGAGCGCGTCCTGGTGCCCAGCTGCTGCGAAACGGCGAACACGGTGAAGTGTAGAGCTGCAGCGAAACAGTGGAGGTGAACAACGAGTCATAGCAGAACTGAGAGCACCGGGGCATGTCTAGCTGCAAAGCAAACGAGGAGCACAGACGAGTGTTGTACTTCGGTGCAGCGGATAACGTCAAAAACGTCATCAAACAACATAACGTTTCCCGTGTCTTTTTGTTTTTTGCTGGAAGCGGCGAAATTTGGCATCCATTAAGCAGTTCATTAGAGATATTGCTCTCAAGTATTGTAAGCACAAGACATCTGTTGACACGACACCAAGTTTAAAACATGCTAATCTGGATCATGACCAGGACGGATTTTGGGTTAAGCAGCATGGATAGCGCTCACGTCACGAGCAATGTCCCTGAGGGACTTGCGGCAAGATGGATCACAATGACCGCCGGCGTGACTTTTGGAAACTGCTAAATCTGTCACAAAAAACGTAAGTGTTGAAACCGAGGAAGGAGGGAGACCTAGCCCACGCATTTTTCGAGGAATTTGAGCAATAGTCCTCCGGCGATGCATGGAGAGCATTGACTTCAAAGCTGCTTTGGATCACCCATTTCTTAAAACATGTCCGCGCCCTTGACGATGAAACATAGGAAATCCATTTCAGATTTGAATGGGACCGAGAACATAAGTTCATTTCCTTGTAACATTGACGTATCTTAAGTGCACTGAGCACATAGATGTCCATATGATTTGGCCACCGTTTATCTGAAGATGTCATAACTCGCCTTTGCATTATAAAAATGTGCCTATGCTAAGTGTGTTTGGCCATCTAAATTTTTAGTCGAGGTCCATTCTTTCGCGAAGACAGCGTTTTAGTACGGAAATATGAGTTGGTTTTCTCAGTTATCACAAAAGATCAGAAAACGGTGCAAACTGTTATCTCAAGACCTAATGGAATAGCTTTAGCTTCACATGAAAGCAGTGGACCAATAAATACTGTCGCCTTTCGTCCCCCCCCCCCCCTTATTTTGGCCGGTGCACTGATCCTGATAGTGTGAGCAAATGGCGCGGTCACTCTTCTGTCCAATCACCTGGCTGTGTTGCGGGTTTTCCAGATGCCAGGTCATCTCTATCGAGTTCACCTCGATCCGGGTGATCCTCAGTCGGAGCGAAGTTGACCTCAGGCGACCCGAGGTTACACCTGCCGGACACACTCAGCGGTCACACCTGTCGGACACACCCGAGTTCGCACCTGTCGGACACGCCCCGAGGTCACACCTGCCGGACACGTTCAGCGGTCTCACCTGTTGGACACGCCCCGAGGTCGCACTTACCGGAAACACCCTGAGGTCGCACCTGTTGGACACGTCTGGTTTACTGGTTTACTTTCTACCAACATTATATCAGCTATTCTAAATGCGTACACATAGCTTTGGAAAAGGCTTGCTCACACATAACCTTCGGACGCTTGACGCTGGCGTTATGCTCGTTCTGTTAGTGCCTCCGTGCCCTCGAGTTTTGATTCAGGATCCCGAGCAGAAAAACGGCCAAGGCGAACAATAAAGTGCAACTCAAGGCATTCGCGCTCTTTTCCTCGTGGGAAGCTGACATAAAATGTTTTTATATGCACACGGGTTTTATTCACTCGGCAGATATGAACTTTTCATATGCGTGCGCAATTATTCATACTGCAAAAAGTTGCAAGGACCTTTCGGAAGTGGCGGAATATTTAATCAGCGCACTCAATCAGAGCGTATCATCTTCGTCCTCCAATCCCTCGGGTGAGCTGGGTTCCAAACGTTTTCACTAACTTTTGCCATTTTCCTCAAAGTTTTCATCAACAGCTTTATGAAGTTATGGAGTGTCTAGGGCCTGGCTGCGCGCAAACATGTCCCTGGTTCGACCTGCTGAAACGTTCGACCTGGGGCGTTTCTTTTATAAACGACCACGACAGTGACATTTCGGGCCCAACTGACGCTGCGCCCCAGAAAGTGCGTTTCACAGGGAAAACTTCGACGTTTCGCTCCCAAATTAGATATGTTTCTATCAAAGGCGAACCGCTGAGCTGCTTAATCGGTTAGGAAGCGAGAACCACGCCAGCATTTCTGGAGAGCGAGGCGGCCGGGACGGATATGCGTCGCCGAACTACCCGACAAAAAAGATGTCGTTCGAGTATTGAAAGGCAGCACTCTCCGTCCAAGCTGTCGCCCGCGGAAACGATGTGTAGGTCTCGCGCCGCCATCAGACCCGGCCTCGCAGACCACCCGTCCGCCAGTGGGAGAGGTGTGTCGGGTCTGGGTCTGTCAGCGGGCTCGCGGCAGACCCAGACCCGCCGGTCGGTGGACGTTGCGTGTCGCGCCCGTCGGCTGACCTGCCGGATTCCGGTGCATAATTGATGGTGTTCGGAGGAGCGGCCGTCCGTAGCGCCCCCAGTCCGAGACGGTCGATTCCGATGGTGGACCACTGGCACACGCGGCCCAGGCCAAGCGTCCGACTCAGGTCACCGTCCAGGGCGGTCGGAAGCGGCCCACGCGGCCCGAACCGAGTCCGACTCAGGTCACCCGTCCAGGGCGGTCGGAAGCGGCCCACGCGGCCCGAACCGAGTCCGACTCAGGTCACCGTCCAGGGCGGCCGGAAGCGGCTCAGAGTTGGTCAGCTCTGGGGCCCTCCGCTCCGAGGGCCGGGATATCTCGCTCGGGCGGAGTGCGCTCAACAGACCGGCCTCCAGACGCATGCCGGTCGACAGACTGGCTTCCGGACGAATGTCAGTCGACAGACCGGCCTCCAGACGCATGTCAGTCGACAGACTGGCCTGCAGACGAAAGTCAGTCGACAGGCCGGCCTGTAGACGAAAGGCAAACCACAGACCTGTCTTCAGGCGTTTGACAGCCGGCAGACCGGTCTTCGGACTTATGACAGTTGACAAACCGGTCTGCAGACGGATAGCGGTCGGCAGACCGGTCCGCAAACGCACGACCCTCGACAGACCGGTCAGCAAAGCTCAAACAGAGCTGGTGTCTAACTTGGACCGGCGCGGAGCCTCTCTGCAATCGCCCTCTGTCAACAGCCGTGCTGTCGCCGCTCTGATTAGAGCGGAGGCGTCCGCGCCCCCAACTGATTGAAGATTAGCTCATTACCCGAGCGAACGGCGGCTGGAGGCCTCCATTCGGCGCCGGCCGCACCCTAACTCAATAGCTTCGTCCAATTTCATCTAAGAGTCCGGCCGCTGCGTTGCAGGACATGGGCCCGCGGATGTGGGGCGGGTGCTGTTGCTCCACGAGTAGTGCGCCACTGGCGCGCCGTGCACTTCAGTTGCAGGCTTCTCTCTTGGCTGAAAACTTCCGCGAGGCACTCAGAGGCCCCAACAGCTGGCGCTTTCTGCCGGGCGGTTGCTGCCTGCGCTCTGGTGTACCTCAGCTATGCGATGCCTGTGGCATGCCGTGTGACATCACACCGGCTCCCTTTCGCATCGCAGCGGCACAAGGAGATTCGGGCGCCGCGTGACGGGTCGCCTGCGCTCCGTGTGCCGCCGGAGAGCGCGGTGTCTGCGACGTACCGTGCCGTGTGGCGGCTGCCGCGGTCCGAGGGCCGCCGGTTGGACCGTCGGTTGGACCGTCGGCCGGAGGCGGTGTTTCCCGACGGCTGGGTTTGTCCAGGGGCCGCCCTAATGAGACCACCTGTCACGAACGTCGAAGCAGCCCGCGCATCATTAAGACGGTCGGACGCTACGCGTCCGTACGTGAAGCGAGGGGAGAGAGCGGGCGGGGGGTCCCCGAGATCAGAGAGCAAGCACTACTTTTCTCCCCTCGTGATTGTCTCTCGGCTACCGGCGCGACATTCGCAACAAGCCCTGCGATCCGATACTAGACCCGCGATTGTTCAAGAGGGGCGAGGGAGGGGGAAATACCAGTCAGCCACCGGGACACCTAGCCAGGAAAGCCGATGCTCGCTACATCGTTATTAATGCCACAACGTGCCACGGCGGCGCACGCCACATTTCGTTCATCGCGCGGTCACCTGGGACGCAGGCAGGATGATGGCGTGATGACACGCGCTGGAGACGTTCGACCGGGTCTGATGCGCGCCACAGTCGCAGTACACTACCGCTGCTGGGGACTGGTCTGCGGTTAGGTTTGGGAAGGTCACAAAGTCACTCCTCTGGACTCTGCCGAACAGCATGAGACGAAGCTTACCAGTGTGCCACGATCGCGCAGGTGTGTGCAACGTACGGGTTTCAAGGAGCAGATGATGCTCGGTCAAGCATGATTTGACTGTTTATTCTGGTTTTTTTCCTGAGAAAGCCCTTACAACAAGCGTTTCCTGACGTTTGTAGCGATGGCGGAGCACTTCGAATACGTTATTCCTTGTCCTATGAAGCCGTCCGACCGAGCTCTTCTTTGCACAGTCGGCGACGTTTACATTCCATTTTGTGGCCGTGGTCCCGCTCGATGACCTGTTTCCCTAACGGGCCTGATAGCTGGCACTACCGCGGGCTGTTGTGTGCGACCATCGAGCGCCCTTTGATATGACTGTCACAACGACGCGCGCGTGATTAGTGGTGTCGCCGACCGCTCGATGGCTGGTTGCGACAGGTGTGGGACTGTTGTCCATGTCCTTACACTGTTATTCATGTCACCGACACAACCACACGCTTAGTTACTTCCCCATTGAAATGACTGTTGCCTTGGCCAGTGCGATAAGCAGAAAATATGGATACGAGGAGTGGCCGTCGGTTGGCTCCGTTAATGACTGTACACATGCAGATGTGTTGTTATAATTGAGCATCACCCCGAAGAGCCCTTGGGCTTTTGCTCTGTAATTGCAGGATGCCTCCCGCATGCTTGATAGCCTGGTATGGCCCAGTCAACGGCTGGTAGGCGGACTCATCGGGACGGCCGGGCCGGCTGAATCTATCGGTGAATGGAGGGATCAAGCCGCACGGCAGGCAACACGGCAGCTAGAGAGAGAGAGAGAGAGAGAGAGAGAGAGAGAGAGAGAGAGAGAGAGAGAGAGAGAGAGAGAGAGGGGGAGAGAGAGAGAGAGAGGGCTGCCGGCTGACTAGGCCTCTCTCTCCCTCTCCCTCTCTCTTCCCCTCCCTCTCTCCCTCTCTCTCTCTCTCTCCCTCTCTCCCTCTCTCTCTTTCCTCCCTCCCTCTCCTTCTCCCTCTCCCTCTCTCTTCCCCTCCCTTTCTCTCCCTCTCCCTCTCCCTCTCCCTCTCCCTCTCCCTCGCCCTCTCCTCTCTCTCTCTCCTCTCTCTCTCTCTCTCTCTCTCTCTCTCTCTCTCTCTCTCTCTCTCTCTCTCTCTCTCTATCTCTCCATGTGCGCCTTTCTGTGTGCGCCATGTGGCCCGGCGGCGAGTGATGACACCCGGCGCCCCGGGGACACGGCGACACGGCGACACGGGCGACACGGCGACACGGCGACACGCGACGACAGAGGGGACCGCAGCCGCCCGGCACGGACCGACGCTCGATACAGCCCCTCCCCCTCTCCCCCCCCCCTTCTCACCGGCCCCGGCTTCAGAGGCCAACGCCGGGCGGTCGCCAAAGCCGCGGCTCTGCAGTTTATCGCGAACTCTGTTCGCTGGGAACAGTGACTTCTTTTGAGTGCGTTTCGGCTGAAATGGCGGAGAGGAATTTGAATATGAAGGCCCTTTGCAGCGGCGGTTGGCTGGTGATGAGTGAACGTAATGCATTTCACAAGGCGTTTTGTGGTGGTGGCGGGCAGGTTCACCTCTCTCACGATGCCAGTATGGCGCCGCAGAGCGCCGGTGCACGGCTCCGTGGTCCGCCAGGCCGGCCCATATACGCCGTCTGGTCGCTGCCCAGTTTAGCGCCGGAGCACCGGTGCACAGCTCCGTGGTCCGCCAGGCCGATCCATATACGCCGTCTGGTCGCTGCCTGGTCGCGAATCGACCACAGCACACCCGGTACTGAGCACGCAGCTCTGAGCGGACACGGCCAGCCGATCACTGGAGTCTGGTGCGGTGCAGTAATATCGTCTGACCTCTTTCGTCCAGCTGTTTGGGAGAACTTAACACAACTACGTGTGCACGCAAAGCGCTCCGTTGACTGCCAATCGATGGAGTTATGCAGCACTGGAGTGATCTGCATAATGTACCTAAGTGATGACCTGAAGTAGTGAATTGCATGTAAAATGTTTGCCCATAGCATACAGACACTTTTCATTAACATTTCAGAA